TCATTAGTAGAAATCACTCGAAATGCTTTCTCACGATCCACGAGGTGTTGCATCGCCAACAACTGCTTGACAATCGATTAGCTTGGTGGTTGATACCAGTTACCGGCTGTGTGGACTTTGACATGGCAATCTTGCGTTGAACCCAGTTCGGAATGTGTTCTATAATCCGATTAAGTAATTGCCTTTCTATTCTGCTTATGTATTGTCAAGCAGTTGTTGACGATGCAACACCTCGTGGATCGTGAGAAAGCATTACTAATGATAACATCAGAATGATCAAAATCGCCGAGGCGATTGCAATCAACCGATGGAAACCAATTCTGTGTCAACAAAAAGACTTGTTCATCATCTTGGCGAAGCTTCCCCCAATTAGTAACTGTTTATTTTGTAATCCATTTGCAAACCCCTATATAAAAATTGCGTTTGTCTGCAGTAGGCACCAGTCGAAATGATCCAGGACATAAATCGTTCAATGTTGTTATACTGGCTTCACTTTTCAAATTAACGTATGTCAAGTTCATCGTCAGTGAGATATTCCAATCATCCTCGTTTTGAGTATCAGTGGTCAAACAGTTTTAGGTGACCTTCTTATCACCTTGTATGTTGTGTTGGAATGTCAGCATCTCCTCTGATTCCACTTTCTTTATATCGCATACTGTCTCCCTTCGATTGAACCACTTGTGAAAAGTTGATCGTACGAGTGTTTTATGAATAAATTTCACTACTGCTTTGTCGTTTTGTTGGTCAAGTTTCTTAGGCGTACCGGACGTGTGCTCTGTTTTCTGGCATTCTATCCTATGTTTCACTGAATTGTTCACGTATTTGAATCGACATCATTTATGTTGCATTATCTATTCCAGTTTATCTTCACAATTGGCGAAACTCACTGCCGAGCGTCGTGCGGATACTGACTCTGTCCGTGAGTTGCGTGCCCAACTCCAGCAAGAACGAGCAGCGCATGAAATTACAATGCACGAAAGCAAGCTTCTTGAGAATCAGATTCGCCAGTTACGAGATCATGCTGCTGTACAGTCAAACAAAGCAGATGCAACTGACGATGTGTCATCTCAATGTTCGAATGAAGTGAATGATCCGTTTTCTATTAAAAACCGAACGGAAACGACTGGGGTGAGTGTCTGGCTAATTAGATCTATCATGGATGTTGGTGGCATTGGGGATTAATGGCTGTCACCGGCATGTCTTGGATCGAGGTTCGAGCCCCACCTTCGCCACCCAACTTTGGTGGTAGGCAGCTTCGCTTTCGTCCGGTTCAATACCACACTTGACCTAGTGATCCCTTAAGTGGTTCGCCACTCCAAGTACCGAGGCTTAGGTTACCGGTTTCTATAACTGAATAATGGATCTTCCTGAGTAAGAGGTCCGCTCCGCCTGCTGTTCTTCACACATTGGTGGTGCTCATTATTATTCCCAAAATGATGTCGAACTGTGTGACGTTTAGCCGCTTGTATGAGGTGCGCCGTAGCTTCATTAAATACGTCCTGGTTACTTAGGGTTAGTTTGTCATTCACTGCTGAAAAGCTTTGAAAAACACGGCACAACCCTTCCATCCTTTTTAGGGATCCTCAGTAATGTGCATCCGACGAATCTATTGCTATTCGATTTCAACACAAATTGTCAATGTTCTGACAAGCAGGCCAACAACAACAACAACAACAACAACAACAACAACAACAACAACAACAACAACAACAACAACAACAACAACAACAACAAC